ATCTTATAAATCTGTTGGATATCTACATCTCCCCATAGTTACTGCTCTATAAAATTACTGCTTCTTTCTTTATACCTTGTTTTTAGTTTACGGACATGCTCTAACATATTACCTCTCTTTCTCAATATTTCATTTCATCGGAATATATATTCTTTTACTTTAAAAAACAATTCTTTAAAGCAAAAGAATCTATTGCCACCTCTTTCGTTAGGCTTTGCGACTCCTAGCTCTTCCTGCTGCTTGTAGAATATATTTCAAATTTAGAATAGTTAAAGTAGAAAGCTTTAAATATTAAAGCTCCGTAGTTGGAACGCTATTATCATATTGGGTAACTCCTAATAGTTGATCAGGGTAAATCTTTTTATTATATAGCGCGGATTGGGTCTGATAACCTTTTAGATATTGGAGTGGCAGCCTATCTTCATCACAATCACTACTTGAATCATAACCACTCTCTAAATCATCATCACTATTATTAATTGCTGGATCACTATCTTCTTGCGAATTGTATTCAAAGGTAGTATCCAGCTCGACTTCTTCATCTAGTGAAGTTCTAGAGGAAGATTTAGGTTGAGAATTCTCATAAATCCTTTCCATTTTTTTCTGCCCTTGGCAGCTAATCTGTAGCTCATTTATATCCTGTTTACTAAAAAAATCTTTTCTAAATGCAATAAGACCAGTAGTTAAGTTACGCAGCTCATCGCTTATAGATATATTTGTTCCTAATTCTAACGATTTTTCTTTTATTTTTTCAATTTCTGTATCAATCAATGTACTCAGTCGTATTATTTGTTTAATTGTTAATTTAGCTAAAAATTCTGCATTGATTATTTCAAGACTAATAGTAAAATCTTTGTTAAATTCTTCAGAATCGCCATCATTTTCATTTGCTTGTTTCTTTTCAGTCACTGTTCGACTAGATAAATTTTTAATTTTATTCCATGCATCGGCCTCATAACGAACCGTACGCCAGAGTTTATCATAAGCAATAACTTGATCGACCAATTCGACCTGTTTGTATCGTTTCTTCTGTGAATCACGTACAACTTGTGGGTCATAGTTTTTGTCGGCTCTAAATAAGTCGATATCGAGTACCATTTTATTGTT